TCTTTAAATACTATCGAATACCTGAACACATCGATTTTATTTTGAAGGAGATGCATGCAATAACCATGTGTGCTGTCAAAGATGAAAGAGAGCTCCCTGAGTAGTTCTCCGTCAACCACGGAGTTCGTTAGGGAAATTTGATTTCACCCTTGCTATACAATATTTTTCTCGACTGTCGTTTCCAAAACAGTGCCGACTCTCGCAAAAGCGAACGTCTCATTCCAGAGGAGCAATTCAAGATACCCAACTAGATATCTTGCTTACCTGGAGTACGTAGATGATTTTGTCCTGGTGAGCAGTACGGGAAGCGGGCTCTGTTACCTTATACGCAATGCTTATGCAGCACAACTCTAAAAGTAGGCTTCTATTTGAAGTCAAACGTTATGTAGAACCCATTCGCTACAGCTGATCTACAAATGGAACAAGGAAGAGGTCTTCAGGAGGCTGACCGCCTTAGGTACCTCGGCTCCATAATCTCCAGCGATGGAACTGTCCAGCTAGAGTTAAATAGAAGGATCGGGTGCCTTTGAAAACCTGTCCAATATTTGGGTTGAGAAAGAAATTACTCTTTCCATGAAAATCGGCCTGTGCCTTGTCTCTGCAAGGTCAGAGTTTTCCTATGACACGGAAACAGTTGTTCCAACAAAGGAGCAAGAATTACGAGTTGACTGTGTGCAGCGGCGTCAGCTTCGACGCATAACGAGGATTAAATAGTAGGGCTATGTGAGGAATAATGCCATTCTCTTCCAGGGTCCCGTGACCTTAAGACATCTAGAGGTCAGAAAATTAGGTTGGTCCTACTAGGTAGACTGATTGAACATACACCGTTTGCTTCAGCCCATGAGCTTCCGGTGGGGGAGCTGAAAAATAGCAGATGTCAAACAGAAGAGAGCAATACAACATGGAAGGACAAGATATACGCAGTTCCGCTAGACAGGAATATTTCCCTCTATTGTTCAATAACCGGGACCTGATAGCAAAAATATTGCAAAGCCGCCGAGACAGCGGACATCATGCTTCACAGATGTTCCAAATGGCTAAGTAGACCGGAAGAGATGATGAGGAGGCGTGATCTTTCATGAAATTAGATTTTATCGACCATAAGAGAACCACATGTTGTGTAAACTGACAATTCTAGTAAAACACCACATTTGAGAATATCATGTGTACTTACGCATCTGATAGGAAGGCTGTTTTTGCAAAAACCAAAGCCTACTCTTTTTCAGCAACTGAAACCGAATCTGACTGAAGAGAATGAACCAGAAGAGATGAAAACTGCAAAGGCTGCAACCTGAAGCTGTCGCCGACTGGCCATGTTTCACTTTATATTGGTTATGTAGAAAAAGAGCGAATTTGAGAAGCATACTGTAGCTACTGAAATGCTTAGAAACTTTTCTGCTTCGATTTTAAATTATGATGTTGCGAAAATATTATCAAATATGATTCAGTCAGTTTCGATGACTGCTTATCCTTTCGGGTAGAGGAGTTAGTGTTGCCAACTTTACCGATCCTGTTGCAGAAGAAACTCTGAGTCTACAGCAAAGTATTTCGAGACTATGCCCCCCCCCAGGTTATTATTAATTGTCCTCAGAGCTTTCAAGCGATCGGTTAAACAAGTAGTAGCCGTTTCACCTTTCTTTCTGGAAACCATACACAAATCACTCGACCCACGATCTTGGAGCAAAACGACTCTCAGCCGGGGGCATCTTAGAGTGCCCCGTTCTGCAGCATGGGCAACCTCATCGTGCCACCAAACCTTCGAATAACCAACCATCACCTTTGTGGCTTATGTCTGATCTAACATTTCGGTCAATATTCAGCATTCACGACCTTGAGAGAGACAGAGAGTAGATTCATAGACAAGTCTGAATTGAAATAGTTACACAACACTGCTGAACTTCTTTTTCATCACAGACCGGTTCATCCAGCAAAACGATGCTCGTGTGTTTAACTCATATGTCTACATCCTGTCATTACTCAAGCGGCTCTAAATTACTTAAGATTCTCAATCTGACTCATTTTCACTCCTTCAAGCCGTAGAGTATACCGTTTAGAAGTTCTCAAGAAAAAAAGCTTTTGTTTTTGTCAGGCTTCTGATCAGTTCAGTCTTATCGCAAGCAACAGCGAATAGCTACTTCTTCATTACCCATAACCGCTTTTCCTTTCGAGTCGCCGAGGCAGACGCGTTAAACAGTGCTTCCAATGTTACCGATCTTGTGCCAGAGTCTTGGCTTCAGCAGAACACAACTGGAATATAGGACAGACTCCTTCAATATATTTACGCCAGGTTAACCTTGGCTGTAAACTGGGCCTTCGTCTGGTCGGCTGGGAAACAAATCGGCTTCACCTTCCTCTCTGGAGGCATTCGCAACATATGCCCAAGCCATCGCAGCTGTGACTTCTAATTCTGAAGAAGCAGCGGCTGTACACCAAGCCCATCATTGATGTCTGTATTCCGGACTATATCAAGGAGCGTAAGGCCAGCGACTCGTCTAAGAAAGTCTAGACAGAGCTTGCAACGTTCCTGATCCTGTGCCAGAATCTGAGCTTCGGCAAAAGACAAATGCAATCTGGAACAAATTCCTTCCATATGTTTGCACCAGGTTAATCTTGGCCGTCCCCTGGGCCTTTTTCCGGTCGGATTAGCAAGAAACAGTCGTTTAGCCTTCCTTTCTGGAGGCATTCGCAACACGTGCCGAAGCCATCGTAGCTCTGAT